CCCAACTACCTATACACTATTCCAATTATAATTATTGAACAACTGTACCTAATTCAGGTAATTAATAAATCTTGTTTCCTTAATTAAGTTTTCTATACACAATATCACTATACACCTATCACTAAGGAATCGAAAGAGAAAAATTCAAATCTTATGATATTAAAAATTGTCAGAAAGCCTCGGTTTACGGTTAGTATTTTTCGTAAATGAATTATCTCCACTTACCATGCAACGCTGAGTATTGCTAACTATTTATTATAATATATATAGTATATAGATATATCATCCACGGAATTTCACAAAATAAAGTATAATTAAATAAAAAAACAGACACTTCACTTAGGCAAAATATTCACGATTACTTTGAGGAATACTAACAGACTATACAGGAAGACTCAGAAGACTGAAGAAGAGAGACAATTTGAATTTAATCGGGGCATCGCGGCACACATGACATATTGTACATTGTGTTTGTTTTGTCTAATTGTGTCTTATACTTATGATTTGCGATGCGGCGGTTTTTACTACCGCCTTTAGCCTTTGACTTTGGCGTGCACTTGTCGCCTTTTCCCATAGAAATAAATAATATAATATTATATTAATCTATGCCTTTTCTGAAAGGTAATCGTTTTGCTTTTTGCTTGATATTTTGAAACATATCCCTGTCCACAAAATATGGCTTATTATTCTTCCTTTTAGTGACTGTTGACTGATCCCAGTCGACCACAGTCGAATTAATTAGTAGTTGTTAGTTGTTGAAAATTCGTTGAATTGTTCGGCTGAAATTTTTTCAAAGCGGGGCCCTACTGAATCGCGGGGCCCGGGGCTTCAGCCCCTTTAGCCCCCCCCTTAATCCAGGCCTGCCTATTAGGATGTGTGCATAGAAATGGTTGCAAAAGCCATCAAATATTTATAAAGACAAAATGAATATATACATTTCGTGGCTTTTTTAACCATTTGAATAGGTTATCATTATAATTATAATTAATAAAAATGATATTTTTAAAATAGGAAAATATGCTAGAAAACCATCCCTCCAGGCGCCACTCATTGGCGAAAAAAAAATAATTTGAATTTGTTTACGTTCTCTACAATGCGGATATGCCAAAAACGCCTCAAGCCAATCTTGGTTTATACGCTGGCGACATTACCCTTTATTAGACCTATTTTAGCTCTTTACTTTCCAATGAACAATTGGAAATATTTATAAATCGTATTCTTGTACCGTACCTCCAGAAATGGAAGGTCAAAACCAACTCGGGCAAAATCAAGTTGATTAAGCACCTAGGCGCTCTGTTAAATATCTCGGTATTATCTAAGACAGAAGATTGTGAGGTTTGTCTCCCATATAACTTCGTTAAAGTCCAGGCTCTTTCTAGCCCCTAAAACTATTACCCCCTTATCAACAAAAACTTTCTGCTGTCAATCAATAACAAGACTATACTATACAAACCTTGCATCAGATCGGTAATGACCTATGGTTTCCCGGTGTGGTGCGGCCCATCTAACACTAAATACATGGTTTTGCAACGACTGCAAAATAAAACACTTTGACACACCACCAACTCGTTTGATACACTGCAATAGTATTTGAGGAGTTATGTGACGCCATTTGCCTATGATACGTTTGCAACCCTTATTGGGACTGTTGCGTAAATTTTACTTTTTAAATTATCCTACATAAAAAAGTTCAGGGAAGTAAAAAATGGAGATTTGGACGGATAATCCGGAGCTCATCTTCTTGAATTGTTAAGAAAACACTTGGTCCATTATCAATAAACAGTTAAGTTACAAAAAACGCATTCTGGTCTGAAAAACATATATTGAAAAGCAAATTTGTATGTTTTCCAAAAGTCAAAATATTGTAAGAACTTAATTTATGAGATCCAAGGATCCATTAGATGGTGGTTTTACGAATGTTGGAAACCGTAGCTGATTTTCGCGTGCGCAAAGTTCTCTCTAAAAATGAATTAGTCAAAAATGACTAATTGACATGGCAAAAAAGCCACTAGTAATTCTCGCCAATAGCAATTTGTATCCCGAATATTTAGCAGTTAATTTTCATGTAAAATTGTCCCCTGAATCCGAAAATGAGGTCATTTAGTTTTTGAGATATGGTCTGTTTTCCATATAATATGGAATTGACTATATCTCAAAAACTGCTCTACTTTTATAATTTTTTATTTCCACCTTCTTAGTAAATGACATTTTATAGGTTAATTTTGAGGTTTTTGTAACCAAGTAAACGATACATTATGGGAACAGACCTGTAATATTTTACGGGCTTGTTTAAAAGACCTGAAAAGCAATTTATGAATTGAAATGTCACATTTGACATATATATGTATATATATTAATTAAAACTTTAAATTTGAAAATCGTTATCTAAAGGTGAAAATAAAAGTTTGTACGTGTCACGCTTTGCAATTAATCTTTACTAGGCTCACTGGAATATGGGGTTTGCTCCTGCGTCGCTCACCCCACAAACTTCCAGCTCACCCGTAAAGATTCATTTACAAAGCTTGACACGTAAATAACTATTATATGTTATCCCATGGTTAACCATGATATAAGTAAAAAATCAGCCACTAATAACTGAAGTAAGTAGTCATTTTTGACCAATTCAATTTTAGAGAGTTGTATCAGCAATAACTTGCCTGTTAAATCTGTTAATCTGTTTTAAAAAAATAATCATTTTAACTCTTTCCTCAATACTGTCAAACATTGTTGAATGAAACTGTACTAATTTTGTGTACTTAAAAGATTTATGAAGACTTTTTTATGATTCGACAGTGATTTGCAAGGGAAATCTACAGCAAAAGATGTCCTCCTCGAAACTAATGATAATGTGATACATTATCATATTTAAACCAAGAATTATACAAAAAATAAAATACATTAATTTGATTTTCAAATTAAGTAATTTGTTTTCCTTTTAACATAATCCTTACTTTAAATGCAATATTGAAGGGGAAAATTGTATAATAGTAGAAGTACATAATAATCATCTTAATAAAATTTTAACTACAACTAGGCCAAATTAAAAAAGAATTGGGGAAATTGTGTAATTTTACTGACTAAAATACAATATATTACTTACTAGATAAAAGACAAAATAATTTAGTATACCTACCAAAAATAAAACATCATTTGGTAAAAAATACTATCCTTACAACTGTTCGATACTGTGTAGGTCATTTTAATTTATCTCAGTGTATTACTTGTTATGCGAGAGAAATGCAAAACTAAAAAAGCTGCGTGCGGTTTGCTGCATTAAATAACACGAAGGTTATTGACAAGGTTTCGCCTATAGTGGTACATTAACTGTAAAAGTTAAGAAAGTTGCACTAATAAACAAAAATAAAATGTAAATGTCAGGTGTGTATGAATACATTAATTAATTTTAATAAATATGGCAATAATACTTGTATTTATAGTGTGGACATTTAATTTTTAAATTTTATAATTCCACATACTTTATTAGTTGATTATATTAAAAGGTATCTTTAAAGTATAAAAATTCGTTCTGTTTTTTCACTTTAACTAAATTTTTTTTTAGTATACTGAATTAAATTATTATTATATCAATATATACTGAATTAAATTATTATTATATCAATATATATTGATATAATAATAATTTAATTCAGTATACTAAAAAAAAATTTAGTTAATGGATGATTTCCGCCATAATTATATATAATTATGGCGGAAATCATCCATTAACTAAATTTTTTTTCGTTTATTAATGACGGGTTAAAAATGGCGAAACCCAAAAAAACTAGCCAAAAGTAAAAAATGAGGTCTAAATTTTTAATTTGGTAAAGTCTCGTTTGATACATATGGGCAATATGACCATAACGAGTATTAGAGACGTATAACCGGCCCCATTGCCTCATCGCTCCCGGGCCTCGCATAGGCCTCTGTTTTCTTACGCCGATTTTATTTCGCCACCAGCAACGGCATTGCCAAAATGCCAATAGTTTTAATGGCCATTTCCGGGTTCGCCGGGCCGATGCTGTACGCCCAGTAGGGTCATGAAGGATCTAGGACTGGAGGGATACATTTTGGTGTTTGGGGGACAATTAAGCATCGGGAGTTGTTATTTTTTTGCAGGGGCCTGCGTCATGGTTGTTCTCTTTTATTTGTCTCGTAAAAAGCGTCCAACTGACAGGTGGTAAGACCACCCTGTAGCTGACACTTATCACTTCACACTTTCTTGAGCGAAGGGTACACTATATTTTATTTGCACTTTAGAATTTATTTGTGGGTTTTAGGTTTTTATATTTTAATAGGTATGCCAGACGTCTTAGCAATAGTACACATAATCCCAAAGAGTCGGTAAGCGCATCTCTTTTCTGATCAATGTTCGAGATCAATGCATCACGAAAATACGCACTTCATTATTAGCACATTTAAGTTATGGAGTTTTTGATTAAAGATTCTGTTTCCGATCTATCTTGATGAAGTATATTTCTGCAGGTACATAAATAAAAAAAAATCTTTTTTTTCGCGTAAAAAGGTAGTCGAGGGTATTAAGAAAGTCTTCCCAAAATTTTTTAAACCTCGGAGTTGACCGATAAATAGCTGAAAAGTTATGAACGCTGGAGTTCGGGCGTTACTGTGCAGTAAATTTAGTCGATTGTTGTACGCAGTTTATTGATGTTTAAAATTATTAAAATTAAGGGTCTTTAAGTACCTAACTAGTTTATTTTTTCTCAAAAAAATGACCCATAAAAAAATATACAAATTGCGTTTTTTAGTTAAAAGTTGTAAATATAACTATAGCAGTTAGATATAATAAGATATAAATTAATAAAGATATATATATATATATATATATATAATTTTAAGAATAAAAATTTTACACTGAGTATATTGCATTTTAAATTCTTAGGTGAATCACCCTGTATTGTAAATTAAATGCCAATTTTCCATACTATTTTTAACCCTGTTTAATTCCAAAATTAATTTCTAAAAAATATATTTTTTTACCCCAGAGTTGATGAGATCGCTCTTATCGATGTTCCACTGATGCTCAGACTGGTGACGCATCATTCTGGATACCGTGGAAAGATAATCTACGTTGGCCATTCTTTGGGAACCACTGCCGCAATGATGTATGCTTCTGAATTTCCAATGGAAGCTAGGAAAACCGTTCAGCTGTTTGTTTGGATATCGCCCGCTTATAAGCTCACCCACATGAGATCTCCTTACAGGGTTGTTTTTCCACTATTTCGCACTGCATTGGTAAGCAAAACAATTACAGTTGCCAAAAAATAATTTGTAGTTTAGAAAGTGATGTTTATTTATAACATAATATATTTAATTTTTTATAATTATATATAAAATATGTATTGGTTTATTAAAACATTTGGATTTTTTATGGTTTAAAAAAGTACTCACGTGATATTGTTAAAAACGTCATTATTACCAAATTTCAATTTTGTGCACTAGGTACAGGGTAATCCCCTATAATGTCGCCCCCCTTTAACTTTTTTATTTATGTCCGAAAAATTTAAAAGTGTGGTTATGTAGTTACTAAATAATACTTTTTTTCTACTTATAAAAAAAATTGGAAAATTGATTAGTATACAGGTAAAAATAATTACATATATAGGGTGATCCATTGAAAAAAAAAACTTTTTGTTTTTCCCTGTATATTGATCAATTTTTCATTTTTTTGAATACTTAGAAAAAAAGACATTATAGACATTATACCCTGTACATAAATAACTATTTCTTAAAAGTAGTTAATAGTTGAATCTCATTGGTCTCATTGAAAAATTTATTTAGAACCATGTACGAGGTGTGTTCAGAAAATAACGGGAATTGTTAAATTTCGCGGATTCGGAGGGTCCGGTTGTCATAAAATTGATTACATGATTAAAAACGTGTTGCTAACTTTAGCCCGTGACGTGACTAAAACGACATAAAGCCACAACTTGTCAATGTGTATGGTGTCATAGGTCATGGAAACATGTACGATAATGGGCGTTTTAAAGGGGGAGTAGAACAAATATTTTACTTACAATTTGAGTTATAGCCAAAATAAATAATTAAACTACTTGGTAATTGTAAATATCTCACTTTGATTTTTACAAAAATTTCATAAAAAATGTATTTTTTTATTATTTTTATTTTTTTATTCCCCACAAATTTTGACCCCATATAATTAATTATTTATTAAATTAAACAGGTTTATTTGTTTTTTTAATTTTGGTTAATTTGCTAATAAGGTAAAAACGACAACGAAAAATAAACAAGGTTGGATAAATTACGGTCTAATTAATTAATTTGGATATACACAAAATACATTATACAAATCGTGTTTACAAAATAAAATAAAAAAAATAAAATAAAATAAAAAAATATTTAATTACTTAAAACCTAAAGATATTAAATACATGTATTTTAATAGTAAATACTGGTTAAATAAAATAAAAACACTGTATTGAAAATGCATCATTACTAACCAGAACGAAGAAATAAAAATAAAATAAATAATATACTCATTGAGTAAAGAAGTGGGGAAGAGGCGTGGTCTAATGTATTTAAAATAACTCCAAAATCGATCCTGGTTGTTAGAGGCGCCACCGTCGATCTTCTCTTGAGATTTAAATTCTAAATTAGAGTGAGACCGTTAGAGTGAGACAGTAAGAAACGCGTCGTCATCAGCATCCCCACTTTCTATGCCGCGCCGGTCGCATGCATCGTGAAGGTCGACTAGATTAAATTTAATTCAGTTTGCACAAAGCAATTGCTGAAGTAGGTTGTTTTTCTTAATTCGTTAGCGAAAATGAATAATTTACCTACAAATACTTGTTTATATAACAAATGTTTTTTAAAAAAAGGCAAAACCAGCTTTGTATTGTTCCAATTTCCAATAAAAGACACCGAACGGTGTGAAATTTGGAAGAAAAATTCCGGAAATCAACTTTTATTGGATTTAGATTATAATGATCTAAAATTTAAATGTATTTGTGAAAAACATTTTTTGCCGAAGGACATTTTTACAAGCCTTTTTTAATAATTAATTCTTTAAACGCATTAAACAATTAATTTTATATTCTTTATGTAAATAAATCATTACAGGTGCGTGAAAATAAGATAAAACTACAAAAAAAACAATATAATTTGATTTGTTTTGTTTATCTTAAAATGACATTGTTATTTTCAAAAATCTTGCAATAGGCATTCACTTAACGGTATTTGCTTAATGTTTTTTGATGTTTATATTTTTCAATTGTTTTAATGCTAAACTTTCTTATTTATTTATATTTAAATGTTCAAACTATTCAAATGTGTTGCTTAATATTTTGTGTTTGGTGATTTAATTTAAAAAAATGCTACATACTAATCGGCAACCAAATTTTGTTTTAGTTTTGAAATAGACACACCCGTGCGCACGGGGGGTTTGGGGGTTTAAAATTTAAACCCCCGGGGTTTTAAAAGAATATTAATAATTTTTTAAAATTATTTTGAACAAAATTCCTCTTCCGGTTTTAACAGAACCGATTGTTTATTAATTTAAAAAGGGGGTTTAAAATTTAAACCCCCGGGGTTTTAAAAGAATATTAATAATTTTTTAAAATTATTTTGAACAAAATTCCTCTTCCGGTTTTAACAGAAGCGATTGTTTATTAATTTAAAAAGTAATATTTAAAAATTTGAAATACATAATAGGAATTGTACAATATCTTTGTTATTATTAACTTTAGGTATGGTATAGGAAATGGTTATATCAATGAAAAGGTACAGGGCGTTGCATTAAAAATAAAAAAGTTATTGCTAAATAGTAGTCATAGAATTTGAAAATAAGGCACTTACGTGTTGTTAATTAAATGGTCATTATGTTGTTGAAAATGACAAAAATTTGAAAACTCTGGGGTATATATATTACAATTTTGGAGCTGCTTGAGAAATATTAAAAAATAATTTAATTTTTGTAAAGAATAAAATATATATATATATATATATATATATATATATATATGTATATATGAGAAAAAAAATCGGCAAAATGTTAGTGTTTTTAAAATTTGTCTTTTAATTTAATACTTTTAAATACCTAGTTAGTTAATTTTTAAGTAGAAAAACTTAAATTTATTTATTATTTAATATATTCCAAAAAAACTACCTTTTTTTAAATTAAATTTGCATAAAAAAGTATAAGATTTCTTGAAATTCATCATTGGATATTTTGCCAACAAAAATTAGGGATTTGTTTAATCTTATTTTATTTACAAACAATTCTAAAAAAATCGATTAGTTTAGAAAAATCATAATTATCTAACGTAATAAGGGCCGTTCATAAATGATGTCACACACTTAGGGAGGAGGAAGGGGTCGTCGTATACAGGGGAACCCAACAAAGTATCCAACAACACTTTGACAGATGTCAAGTGAACAGGTGACATATGTCAAGTGACAGATGTCAAGTTAACAGATGACATATGGTAGGTGATATATGACAGGTGGCAGATGACAAATGACAGGTGACAGATGATAAATGGCAGGTGAGAGATTACAGGTGACAGATGCATGGTGCTGTTCTGAGAGGTGATTTTTGGACTTTCTGTGAAACCTAATTTTTTTTATATTCTTGTTAATTAGGTCATAACATAAATTTTAAGAGCAAAATAAAAAAAACTTGACGGTTAATTTTGTTTTAATTGTATGTTTATTAAAAATATGTATGCACACTTTCAATTCTCCAATTAAAACTTGCGATTTTATTTAAATATTACCATAACTTTTTAAATCAGATTAAAGATTAGGCCCGATAAACTTTACTAAAGATAAATAAACCGGTCCTTAGTTAAATTTCATGAATTTCTTTGTAACTTTTAGTACAATTTTTCATTTTTGTTTATAAAAAACACTTTAAAAAACTAAACAAAAATTATAGAATACGTATACTGAAAATGACAATTCAAACGTCAAATAAATTTTTAATAGATCTAAGTTTCATGGCAACCTTTAAGGATATATTAATTAAGGGAACATAAATGTATACGTCAAAGGTTATATTAGAAATTGAACGTTTATTGCAACAAAACAGTAAAATATATAAAAAAAAATTGTAAAAACCTTTTTTTTTAGTTATGCAATTATTAAATATTTAAATTAAATCGCTAGTTTTAATTGGATAATTGTAAGAGTGCATAATATTTTAAAAATATCAAAAAAACGTGTGACATCATTTATGGACGGCCCCTAAGATACTCAATGATTTAATATTAAAAAATAATAATACGTGTAAAATTTTTACCTGTCAAACAAAAAATATACCACAGACAAATTTAAATTTTTTTAAATTTGCATATCTACTCTTGACTATAACTTGATAACATGATTGGTTTTAATTTTTTTTTAATTTAATATTTTTTAAATTTGCAGATACTGAAGAAAATTTTAGTGTCTTAAGGGAAACAAATGTAAAAACCTATGAGATTAACAGGCAAAATATTGAGAATGAAAATTTTGTAGATAATTTAGATAGCCCAGAAAGACCAAACTCTGTACTTAGTGACCGATATTTAAATATGCCATCACCAGAAAAAACTTGTTTGAGAAAAAATAACAAAGAAATGTCCTGTAAAATAATAAAATTACGGAAAAAAATTAAATGCAAATTACAACAAGTTAAAAGATTAAAAAAGAAAAATAAAAACAACCATTTTTCAATCAAAGAAATTTTAAATAATTTAGTGAGCAATAAGAGTCATTTTTTAAAAACTTTTATTTTAATGCAGCTTTTTCATAATTAATGCATTTACATTACATTTGTACAAAACATGATAATTTTTGAAAGAAATAATTACAAGTAAACATTTCCATTTTTTTGCCAATAAAAATTAAAATAGTTTCAGTTACACTCACATTAAGAATATCTTGGGCAGCCTGTAAAAATGATTTATGTTTTTAATAATTCAATATTTTATTAACATTAATATTACCTTTCCTGGCTCAGTTTGCTCCGGTTTCTGTTAAAAAAAGATGAATAATTTTCTGATATTTAATTATAATTAAAATAATTATTTTAGTATTAATAATAAATTTTATTACCCCTTCAGTTCTGGTTGAACTTTCGCCGTTTTTCTGAAATATTAATTAAATTAATAATAACATTTAATATTTTAAAGGTATTATTATTACATTTTCGGGATTTTTGGTTTGCTCCGACTCCTGGTAAATAAATTATTAAGATTAATTACAAGTTTTATATTTAGGTATTTTATTATTTATATTATTATTACCCCATCCCCTTCTCTTCCTGGACCAGCTGAAAAGTTAATTAGATTAATAAAGAATTTAATATTTTAGAAATAATATTATTAGATACCTTTTCGGGCTCAGTTTTCTTTGCCTTCTGGTAAAAAAATATTTAGATTAATGACAGATTCAGTTTTTATTATTTCAGTATTATTACCTCGTCGGCGTTGTCCGTCCGGCTCTATTGAAAAATTAATTAGATTAATAATACATTTTTAATTCTATTATTATTATTACCTGGATCTCCTCAACTAAAAGCTAAAAATAATTTTATTAATATTTTGTATAAATTATAAATTAGGTAACTTACCTTATTTAGAATATCTTCCAACTGTCCCTAAAAATAAAAAAAACGTTTAAAATACTCTTAAAAAAAAAAGACTTACCTTTGATATGAAAGAGAAAATATAATAGGTACCTACTCACTTTATCAAAATTTTTTTCATCTGCTTCCAACTTAAAAAAAAGAAAAAAAAACAATTTTAGTAGGTACCTATACCAAATATTTTTTACACACGTTAACTTAATTAAAGTACCTATAGTGTGTTAATATATTTCTTTCAATATATTTTATATTATTAAGTACTTACTTCCTTAATGTCCTTGTTTAATTGTTCCTAAAATAAGTAAAGCGTTATTAAATATAATAAATAAAAATAATTAAGTATATTAAATATTACAACACTTACTATTAATTTTTTCAAAGATTCCATCTAAAAACAATAAATTAATCAAAATATACATGGAAATTTTGTATATAAATAAATAATGCACGGTTCTAAGAGGTCATTTTCCAACTTTTTCTTTAAAATAATAAATAAAAGAAATCATGTATTTTCTTCCTAAGGTCTTTTTTACTTTGCTCGATTATTACTTACAGTAATTCATATAGGGGATTTTTGCTTTAAAACGCAATAATTTTATAAAATCATTAATAATTAATTAACAATTTTAATTTTTTGAGGAAATGAAAGGAAAATATGGTACTTTTAAACAAAAAAAAAGAATTCATTTATGTCCATAGTAAGGTCTTTTTTACTTCATTCAATTATTACTATTATTGTATTTTTATTAAAAATGGCATAATAAACAAAATATCAGTGATAATTTTCATTTAAAAAAAAAGAATTCATTTATGTCCATAGTAAGGTCTTTTTTACTTCATTCAATTATTACTATTATTGTATTTTTATTGAAAATGGCATAATAAACAAAATATCAGTGATAATTTTCATTTAATGCATAATTGTTTAAAAGTAGGTACCATATTTTTACTTCATTTCCTCAAAAAATTAGAAATGTTCATTAATTTAAGTTTAATATTTTTTAAAAACAAATGAGGGGGCGGCACGATTAAAATTTCGATATCGGCCAAATAAGAACCACAGTATATGTATATAAATGCTGTGATAAATAATGTAGGTATATTATTTCTTAAAAGTATTTTAAAACAAAAATGTATATTGATAATTTAGCTTATTTTTGTTGTTTTTTTTTACGAAAATATGTATGTAAATATTTGTTAAAAAAAACTTTTTTTTTAAATGTAAAGGGTGTTTTCTTATAAATGGGACACTCCTATAAAATCTTTATTAGAATATCGAAAAAATTTAAAATCCAGATGCATTGTTTAAAAAAGTAATTTTTTTGACAAAAATTCAAAAACAAAAAAGCATCGGTAAATTTAATAAAATAGCATCGGCATTGTTTTTTTTTAATGAAACACCCTGTATATTTTTGAAAAACAATTCAATTGGGCTACCACTAGATCAATTCTAAATTAAAAAGAAATTTTGTAAAATTTTGAAGTTAATTGATCAGAAAAAACACGTGTCCCTGAGGGTTTTTTTTTAAGATAGGTAATTTATGAAATTGTAAGTGTTATTTTTGCAGATTTTTTTTAATTCAAACATAAACCTACAAATTATATATATGTGTATTTGAAATTATAATAAAAAACTCTATCTAAATGTTCAAAAATATACAGGGTGTTTCATTGGAAAAATCAATGTTATATCTACATATCGCTCATTCGAAACAACAGTGACACAACTCAAAAATCAGTTTTTGAGAAAACGCATTTTAAATTTGTTATTACTGTTTTCCATTAACCAAGCCGGGCTAAAAAAATAAAAGCTGGGCTCAAATATTTTGGTTGTTTAGGCATACTCTCTAAAAAATAGTACCTAATAACAAATTTAAAATGCGTTTTCTCAAAAACTGATTTTTGAGTTGTGTCACTGTTGTTTCGAATGAGCGATATGTATTTCATCAATTTTACCGATGTTTTTTTGTTTTTTAATTTTTGTCAAAAATTTTTCATAAAATTATTTTTTCAAACCATGCAAGCTAGATTTTTTAATTTTTTAATTTATTTTCAAATAAAGATTTTAAAGAAGTGTCCCATTTATACGAAAACACCCTGTACATAAATATATTTTTAATGTCAATTAAAATATCAAATACCAATTAAATACATCAATTTTACCAATGCTTTTTTGTTTTTTAATTTTTGTCAAAAAATTTTCATAAAATCACTTTTTTGACCATGCAGCTGAATTTTTTATTTTTTTAATAATTATATTAATTTTTAATTTAATATATGTAATACAATATAATAATATTTTCAAATAAAGATTTTAGAGGAGTGTCCCATTTATACGAAAACACACTGTACATACATAGATTTATTTTTAATGGCAATTAAAATATCAAAAAATATCAATATTAAAAATATCAAAAACCAATTAAATACATCAATTTTATCAATGCTTTCTTGTTTTTTAATTTTTATCAAAAAAATTACTTATAATAATATGTATGTAAGTGGTACCCTATTTGATATTTTAATTGTGGTATAAATGTATAAATATAATATTATGTATGTCCAGGGTGTTTTCGTATAAAAACTTTATTGAAAGAGAAATTTAAAAATCCAGCTTGCATGGTTTAAAAAGTAATTTTTTTGATAAAAATTATTATTATTATTACTAATAATAATTATTAATTAACTATCTACCCACTTTATCTAATTATTATTTATAATAATTAATAATAATTATTATTAATTAATTATCTACCCAATTATTATTTAATTATCATTTAAAAGTAAAATTCTATTTTAAAAAAATATGCCTCTATGTATACATACATATGTACATTTTTAATTAAAAATAAATAAATTTCACACGTTTCAGAGGCATATTTTTTTAAAATAGAATTTAACTTTTAAATGATAATTAAATAATAATTGGGTAGATAATTAATTAATAATTATTATTATTAATTATTATAAATAATAATTAGATAAAGTGGGTAGATAGTTAATTAATAATTATTATAATGATAATTAAATAATAATTGGGTAGATAATTAATTAATAATTATTATTAGTAATAATAATTATATAATGAAATAGAATAGAAATTACCTCTCAGAACAGCACTAGGAATTGTTAATAAATAAATAAATTCTTTTGGTTACTTACTTTACTCAATGATGAAATAATAAACCACTAAATTCAGACACAAATAATCCTAGGACAAATAATATTATGACTGCAAATAAAAAATTGTGTTGTCGTCTCGTTGCTAAGCGACGAGTTTAGTGAAAGGAGGGGTAAGAAGCTCGCGTGGGAGATCGGAATTTCAAACAAATACCCCTTATTTTATCATATTTTCAAGCTTGGAACATTGGTGGGTAGATGGCGACACCTTACGGACACATTTTCTTGTAAATTAATAATAATACGCCTGGCACAGATCGTCCTACCACCTTGCGTCTCTTCACACACTTTACTCAATGATATACTCGTATTTGCCCTAATTCAGACAAAAATACTAATTTTATTTATATTTTATACAACTTTTATTTATTTACAGAGATTTTCAAATCATCTTAATCTGGTTCAAGTCATTTCAAGAGGGTACTCAAGCAGATTAACAAGACCCACTTGTTTGGCATCTCCGGCACTCATGCTCCTATGTCTGAATGTCCTGAATCTTTTTCTAGGACCCTTCACTGAAATTTCACCAGTAAGTTTTGGGTAAGAAATTTTATAACACAAGAAATGTAAAAATATAAATTAATCTTACTTTATTTTATACGAGGGTTGCTATTTATATTTCAATAATAGGCAACACTAGTGCTGATACGTGAAATCCAAAATTTAACAGTTTGACAAAATGTTTTAATGTACTAGCGCTTTTTGTGGATGTAGTATGCATGGATCTCAAATAACAATGTATCCATGAATCAAATAACAATGTATCCATGGATCTCAAATAACAATGTACTTAATTTTTTATATGGCGATGAATTCCACGATACTGTATCGTTAGTTTAATGGAGGACCAATTTATTAAAAATCCTCCAAAATCACTTAGTATCCCAGAAAACAACAATTTTGTGCGCAAATTGATTTGACAAGATCGTCATGTGATTTATCGCTTTATTAAATAATCTTTGGGCATAAGTATAACGATATTGCACAAACATTTATCCGTCAAAAAGATGTATTCGCGTTTTATTCCGCATAGTTTGACCATCACCTAAAAAATGCTCGTGTCGATTGGTGCAAAAAATATCTTAGTGCACCAGAAGCTGCAGCTTGTGGTGCAAAGATCCATGGATATTAGGATGTTTCAAAAAAATTAACAATTATTTTTTTTCCAATGGTGTTGAAAAATTAATAGTAAATTAAAAAACAAAATTGTTCACTCCTATTTGAGCCCTTAATATTAATATTAAGGTTTTCCTCATTTTTTGTTTTTCCATTTCAATAACACGGGAATTTTTATTTTTTTAATTTTGAATTCTTATAACTTTGGAATGGTTTGTTTTAGCAACACCCAAGCGCTACAAAAAACATCTGAAGGTCAAAGTTATTCAGATCAACCGTTTCAAAGATATCAGCGATCAGAAATAAAACTAATAAAAAATTTCAAATATTTTCAAATAAAATACAAAAAAAATATCATATGCCATATTTATATTATTTTTTTTATGTAAAATCACTTTAATTCTGTTAACATGAGACTGTAAACGTTTTTTTTATTTATATACAGGGTATCCCGAAATTAGGGGGCCAAACTTAAACAGTGCATTCTTTATAGAAAAATAACACTTTTTTGTTTAATAAACATATATCAAAAAATGCCCCCTAACGGTGCTACGCCCCCCTAAATAGGAGCTTAAGAGCATCATTTTTTTTAAACTTTTCCTAGAGGGTTGAACATGAAGACCTGAATTTTTGGGACTTTGGTAATTTTGACATTCTGAATCTGGATCTATAATCAAAACTGTTAAAATTTAATCATAGGCGTAACATTTGAGGGGGCAAATTTACAAAAACAGCCCCAACTTTTTGCAGAGTGAGTTTTTTAATGTTTTGTTATAAAATTATGAAAATGTATAGTTTTTCACGAAAAATAGGTACTCTTGCTTTGAATCGCTCAGATGCACCATTTTCGAGAAAATTGCAATTTAAATTACTATGATTAGCATAATTTCTAATATTTTCATTAAAAAGCTTTGGGACAAAAGTGACATTTGGGTTATTTGCTGACTTTACATTTATTTTTATAGTTAAGTTAATATTTTTTGGCTCGATTTTTCTTATTTTTTATTATGGAGCGATTTTCCAAATTTTAACATAAAATTTTAACGAAAATATGCAGAGTAATTTATAAATGCATTTTTCTCGAAAATGGTGCATCTGAGCGATTCAAATCAGGACTACCTATTTTTCGTAAAAACTATAAGTTTTCACAATTTCATAAAAAAAATTAAAATATTATCTCGTAAAAAAGTTGGGGCTATTTTTATAACTTTCCCCCCCAAATGTTACGCCTATGATTAAATTTTAACAGTTTTAATCTTATATCTTGATTCAGCATCTAAAAATTACCATTGTGCCAAAATTTCATTTCTTTATGTTTAACGCTCTAGAAATAGTTTTAAAAAAACTATTCTCTTAGGCTCCTATTCAGGGGGCCGTAGCTCCGTTAGGGGGCATTTTTTGATACATGTTTATTTAACAAAAAAGTGTTACTTTTCTATGAAGAATGCACTGTTTAAGTTTGGCCCCCCAATTTCGGGACACCCTCTATATTTATATACATATTTGAAACACCCTGTATATACATTATGTATATATATATATATATATATATATATATATATATAAATATATATATTTATGTATAAAAATAAAAAAAAAGTTTGCAGTCTCAGATTAACAGAATTAAAGTGATTTTACATAAAAAATTATATAAATATGGCATATGATATATTTTTGTATTTTATTTGGAAATATTTGAAATTTTTTATTAGTGATATTTTTGATCGCTGATATCTTTGAAACGGTTGATCCGAAGAACTTTGACCTTCAGATGTTTTTTGTAGAGCGTGAAATTGTCTATAAAACTTCTGGCTTGGGTGTTGCGAAAACAAACCATTCCAAAGTTATAAGAATTCAAAATTAAAAAAATAAAAATTCCCGTGTTGTGTATTGAAATGGAAAAACAACAAATGAATTGAGGCAAACCTTAATATTAATTTAATAAAGGGCTCAAATAAGCGCCAATATTTTTGTTTTTAATGTACTATTAATTTTTCACTTTTACCCATGTATTGTTTTTAATGCTGAAGTGTAATTATGTGTTTTTACCGTAATTGTCACTATGATTTTTTTTTTAAATATTTAGATACCTATCAATGAATTATTTTTTTATAAGGAAAAGGCTCTATTCACAACAAACAACAATATTTGATTATTTATCTCCCATTTCACTAAAAAAAAATAAAAAAAATGCCAAGCGTGTAGCAATTTTTATATTATAACACTCACATATAGATGATCTTTCGGACACCCTATATTATAAAAAATTGTGTATTAAACTAATGTGTAAGTTTAAGGTAACTTTTATTCTTAATATTTACTGCAAGTTTTGCCATGTGTCAGTCAGTCAATGGAATTTAAATAGCTAGTTAAAGAATGTTATTTATAAAAGATTAGAATTATTTTAAAATTTTTGAAAATCCCTGCTTAAAAAATAAAAAGTATAAATAAAATGTGAATTAAACTTCTGATAAAAAATTATTAAGCCAAAATTCATGATGACTTATCCAGTAAAAACACAGAATACCACTCCACTCAACTCCCAACAAACATTCAAAATTCATGTGTTCGTACAATCGAAGTAAAAAAGGTTCATAAAAATATAATGATAAACAATGCAAATAAAATGTAGGTTTTGTTTTTAAATATTAAAATATAAATAAAACCCCTGTAAATTCCATCATACAATTGTGTCATGAAATAAAACATTTACAATATGCATTTCTAGAATATAACTTTTAAAACTTTTAGGAAACAATTCCAGTTTTACTCAACCAACTTCCGTCAGGGACGTCATTTAAAACTTTAACGTACTTATCCGAAGCCGTAAAAGGAAATTTTAAGAAGTTTGATTATGGCGGCCGAAATATGATGAAATATGGCACAGAAGAGCCTCCAGAGTATGATGTTTCAAAAATAGATATACCTGTCATTTTGGCATATTCTGCTCATGATTGGGCCACATCTAAAGATGTAGGTACACTATTGTAACTAAATTTTTGTCTTAAAACACACGGTATATGTTTTAACGAAAACAAATATTTGGATTTTGTAGGATGCAATGGAACTGTATATGACTTTATCAAACCATGTGAGATATGGACGAATAGAGATTAATAAGCTTAATTTTAATCATTTTGATTTTCTTTTTGGAAAAAACTCAAGAAGATTAGTTGCTGAACCGTTGATAAAGATGATCGAAAAATTCCAAATAGAAAAAAAGCGAAAATTTTAAAACAATAATTTTTTTTACAAAAATGTACATATTATTTTAATATTTATGTCTCTTATTTTCATGGTATTCTTATATTAAAATTAAATATTTATTATTTGTTTTTTTATTTCTTTTTTGAAAATAATTAAATGTATTATATTTATATTGTTATATACTAGTATAGCTTTTAAACATAAAATTTAAACGTAGTACCTTTAACAGCCTCAAATACTTTGTCATTATTAATTAATAAAAAACCTTAAGGTTTAAATTATTTTTATTTTAAAATTATCCATTAAATGCCAAATCAAAAATTAAAAGATATAACATTCTGAATTTAGGTAACGTATTAAAAAAATAAATAATGGATTTGCACTTAGGATCATTTTTAATTAATTTATGCGGAAACTTCAAAGTCGACAGCACTTTATTTCTGTCTCGATTTCTGTATTGGATAATTACAATTTTTAAAATAGTTAAAAATTAAATTATTTTTTTTTATTAAAATGTATACTACTTAGGAAAGGTAGGGAAGGTAGATAAACTATGATAGGGAATAAATAGATACGAGTGCAATTTTAAAAGGATAATTATTTTTTTAATAAAACTCAACATCGATAAAAGAGCCATTTTAAAAATATCAGTAAATAACTTTGTGTGTTTCAATAAAACGAATGCCATAAAATACTTTTTAACTTATAAACAGCAATAAACAATTTTATTAATCCATCAAACAAGGTGTAACGCGTTTAACCCAAAAGTGCGAAAACTAGACATTTTATTTTATTTTATATTTCTAGAAGGTGAATTTTTTTACACACGTTTGAATATTTTTTTCCTCTAAAACTTTAAATTTTCGTATATTTAAAGCATTTATTTATAAACAACCTAAATTATAATATTCCCCAATAAATTATTATTTATTTTATTATAGCAAAAATAATTTATCAGGGCTGTATCTCACAAATTCTTTTTTTAGTAAAAATATACAAGTGGATTTTTTTTATTATTTATTTTAAACTTGTTTTTAATGAACTAATATTAACTCAAAAAGGTATACTTAAATACATTTAAATTTTACCAAAAGTTGCCTTAGCTTAACTAAAACTAATCTTATGAACTAATCTGGCCCTATTAAAAACAATGTTGAAAAAAAATATTAAAAATTTAAAATGATCTAAAATCTGTATAATTTGGATTTTAAGGGAGACTAATCTAAGGCAAACTTAAACCTATATAATGAAGGCTAAGATTAACTAAGAGTAATTTTAACCTAACTAATACAAACCAACCCAAAACTTATGAAAAACTAAAATAACTAACTATAAACTAATCTTAAATATAGGCAACCTATTGTTAAGTTTTGATTAGTTTTAATGAAATTTATTTTTATTGTAAATCCATTGTTTGCAACTTAAAAAACACATATTTCAAACAAAAATGATTGACATCGATATTTGGATCTACTTTTGAGGAGTACGACCCTGATAAATTAACTTTTTTATAAAAAAAATTATTATGTAGGGCAATGTCACTATGCCCAATTCTTTAATGCATCCCTACATTCTGCCCTATATTTGAGTCTAGCTATTATTATTATTGCTGCAAAAGAAATATTTTGGTGTGATCTTCTTGAGAAACACTATACGAGAAGGACCGGATTAAAAAGAAATTTTTACTGAGCCGGTGCAACTTCATTTCCAAGTTAATTTTGGGTCTAAGTGGTTGCCCAAAAATTTTATACTATTTAATTATTAATTACATTTATGTTTTTTGTGAACAAATCATTTTTTAAAATTTGATACAGGTTAAGACTCAACTTATTACAGCAGAACCATTCTGAGACCCTCGACTGTACCACTGCAAGATTAAGGCACAACAACACTATTTTTAAGATGGTGATTCGTTCATTTAATATGTACTTTCAAGTCTTTATAAACCAGCATTCAAAGATATAAATTCAGCATTAGTAAAAGTAGAAAAATAACTGACAACAATATCGTGGCATTTTATAAAAAAATAAACCAATACACCGCAATATATTACTTATGTCGAGACAAGGACTTAAACTTGCTCGAATTGAATGTGTATGTTAATAAAACACACATTGTTTGAAACGTTATTAAATATTCATATGTATTTTCCCCGGAGACATTTTGTTTAAGGGAAGTAAAAAAAATTGTTATATAAGAACAAGTAAAATATAATTGAATTAATTGTAATTAATAAAATAACTTTATATGAGACGCGCTTCAAAGAAAGGATAGGTCCAATAATCGATATTTGAATTATGATCGTTAAGGTCCCTTTAGGTTATCTCTACATAGCACTTCCACATATTTAAATATGTGAGTACTTCATCTTACCGCATAGAAAGTATTAGTTCTATGTTTCACCGTGGTCTCTCAAAGCGCCACCTGAATTTAGCAAGAATAGTGGAGTCACTTTTTCTATTAAAATTTGGCTATTGGCTATATAAGACGGTGCACTAAACTAACCTAATTGCAGATTTTAAGTGATGGAAAACTTTTAAAACTGGGCCATTATACTATTAAGGCTCTCCCATTTGTCAGTTGTCCCTAACATTTCTTATTAAACAAATAATCAATTGAGACAGCTGTATAGCTAATATAGAACTAGATTCATAAATAACTTAAAATAACAAAAATTAATAGAACAGTTTTCAAATAAATAAAAAAAAAATGTAATGTCTTAATTAAGCTTGAAAGTTAGCATCACACTCTATAACCCTATGTCCCCATCATATTGCAATTCTGAAAACTTGGATATATTTCATAGGTTTTTTATAAAACAGAATTTTAAAACTTAAATTAAATAACAAATAAGTAGCTCCTCAGTATTACAAAAGAATGTGATAAAAGTTATGTGAATAATTTTTTAAGCGTGACCAAACCTTGCCCTTATATTTAATGTCTACTTCCTCACAAACCACCTAAATAACAACAGCTTTGTTATAAAATATACTGCAGTTTAACATTACTTATAAAAGAACTCAGTAACCCATGTACTTTATAACTTTGACACGAGATGGCGCCGCTGCAGGCAATGGTATCGTTATTGTTATTTTGTGCGTTACAAACAAGCAGCGTGTGTTTTTGAGGGTTATCTTTTGTCACGGTATTTACTCGGTAAGTATTTGCAGTATTTAATTTTCTTTTTCATGTTATATAAACCCATTTCTTTCTTTTTAATTAATGTAATGTTTTATGCTCGGTTTTATGTGCATTTATTGTGTCAGATATTTTATTGTGAAAAATGTCTCCTTCGTCTCTTTTGTCACATTGCACTGCTATCGCTATCGCTACGATATTTAAACATAAAAATAACTTTACTAATGAGAGTAACATTAGTTTGCCTAAATAAAAGTCACAATGAATATGAAAATGTAAAATATTTGGTTTTTAAAAGTAGATGGGGCTAAAAAGTATAATGACCCAACCATATGTATAATAGAATAAAAATTATAGGTAAAAAATTAAATAAATAAAATATCCAAATTAATATACAGGGACTACACATAAAGTATTGAACTATAGTGTTTGAAGTATAAAGTAGTTTGTGGTTATAATTAAATTTAAATTTATTTTTTAATTACATTTTTTTGCTGGTAAATTATTTATTTCAAAATAAATTTAATTTTGCTAAAAATAATTAAACTAAACATAAAATGTTAAATTGGAAATTCTAGATAGACTGGAAATTTAATATATGGTAATACTTGAGGAATTCTGACTCAGGATGAAGTCAATTATTTAAAAATTTACCACATAGGTATATGATTTGTAAAAGTAAAAACATAATATTTCTTATTCATTTAACAATCGTTTTTTTTACAATTAGTTCAATAACCACAATAGTTTAAGTTGCTATAAATAAGTTTGCATTTGTTATGAAACTTAATTAAGGATACAAATTTTTCCCGAGTAAATGGGTTGCCCTTGTTTTATTAAATGCACGTAACTCAAGGACTTTTCTTGAACTATTCTCATTTAATTTATTTATTAAATATATGCTGGCGAATTGAAAATAGGCCTCAGATTGTGTAAACATGTTGGGATTAGTGGGTTTTTTGGTGTGGTGCTTCTGGTTCAGAACATTTTCTGTTGATGCTCTCGAGCGCAATGTGTGTCCCACCTTCAAGGATTATTATACGCTTAAAAATAATACGAATTGTTGGTATGATCCATCAGCAGAATATGATGCTGTAAGTTTTAATATTTAATTTTTTTTAATTAAAAAATAGGAATATATGCAATAAAGAATCCAAAATGTTGAATTAATTGTTTAAAACGAATGCTAATTTTGGTGGTAGGAAATTACATTTTTTAACTAAAGAATTTGTAGGTCTAAATGTTAAATTTTATTTTGCCCATTTTGCGTATTTAAAATTGCATAATTTAAAATAAAAGTTAAATAATTCATTTATTAAATTAAAATAATACATTGGATGTATACAATATATTGTATATTTACACATTATTTATATGTTCTTGGGTATGCATCTTACATGTTCTCACAATACCTTTTAAATATACATTGATAAGTTGTGGCTTTATGTCCTGACTGAAGTTAGTTTTAAGTTAGTTGACTACAAAGTGCCCTTCTTGTAAAATAATACTAAATGTAAAAATTATTATATTATCTTAATACAAAAATACAAAAGTATTAAATGGGTTCTCAACGCCAATATTTGAAAAATTTATATAACATTGTACTGACTTTTTAAGTTTGCCGGCAGTAAACTAGTTTAACTAAATTTCGGGTGAACACTGCACTGTGGAGTACAAATAAACAATTTCTTTACTTAACAAAAAACTGCTTCTATTTCGGATTAAACGGTCCATTTTTAAGGGATACATTTCGATTTAAACATAAAAATTTGACATAATACAGATTCCAAGTTGGTTACTCTATTGTTTTATAGATGTCACTATATAAAAGAATATTTTATTTAAATTATTTTTAGATAACAGTATTTGTCGTAGAATAAGTATAGTATGTGA